TATAAAATTAGGCACCAGATTTATAGGGGGTTCTGATTATTTAGACTTACAGAATTTAAGAACTGAAATGAAAGAGGAAAGAGAAATGAAGGAACTATCAGAAAAAAATAAACCCAGTACCTTGGGATTTTGGTTCCATACTGTCCTACTTCTCCAGATGAACCTAATTTTATCAATCTATATGTATAACAGGCTAATTAACTGAGAGCCAGTCTGTCCAACCATCCGACCAACTGGCCAATACATGGCACACATGACATGCGTTGGCAATTTAAAAATAAACGTTGACTCGCGCATGTGCGATACATATAAAGCTCTCGCTGGTGCCAACCACATGTGATGCCAGAATGTATCTGAAGACCAACTATTGGCACAATGTACTTCTGAAGCTAAAAGAAAGCAGCATTGTCGACAGAGTATGTCTGAAGACAAACCCGCTTTCAGAAATGGTCAGTTATATGTTGCTTTCTCATTATTTTCATATACATTCTGCTAACTTTCTTTTATCTCTGACACTTCTATTATAGAGAACAGGTGAATAGTGATATTAAAATATTTTGTATTTTAATTTTATAATACTACTAGAGGTACATGAAATTCATGCACTCGGGGGGTAGCGGGGAGGGCGTCCTGCAGCTCAGCCTGCACCCTCTCACCGTCCAGGAGCCCTCGGAGGATGTCCCAGTCGGACATCCTTAGCACTGCTGTGGAGACAGGAAAGGCTCCTGCCACCGCCGCTGCACTCTCCAACCTTGAGCCTGGCTTCTGGCTGAGCAGTGCTCTGCCTGTGAGAGTGCACTGACCACCAGGGGGCACCCCCTACATTGAGTGTCTGTCCCCTGATGGTCATTGCACATCATAGCAACTAATTGTTTTGCTGATTGATCGATTTGCATATTAGCCTTTTATCATATAGCATATTAATATACTATTCTGACATGTAATTTTTGACATGTCATGCCTCGAGGTTCTTCCCAGAATTAGCTCTCTGTCTCTTCCCTCTTCTTAATTGCAGGCTGGGCAATTTCATTTCTGTGACTCAAACAACCATCAGTATGCTGACATGCACATTTCTAGCAGGGTTCCCGATATCTGATGAGGCCATTTGATTCAGCCTTCAAAGGAATCCTTTTTATTTTCACTCTTACAATGTTTGAAACTGGCATTCTCCTCCTATCCCTGGGCTTCCTCCTATTAAAGAGGCATGTTTTATTGTGGAACTCTAATCAACTACCCAGAAATAGTTTATAAAATGCTTAAACAGTTACAGTTTCTTTAAACAAAAAACAAGGGAATTCCCACATCCCTTTATAAAGCTAAGAGGATCTGACAAAAATAGTCCAAACTCAGTTAAATATAATATGAAAAACAAACATACCAATTATGAATGTAATTGAAAAATTCTATGCTAAATATTAGCAACTAGAATTTAGCATTATGGTAAATTTGTGGTCTATTTAGAAATGCAACAAGGAAAAAACACAACCATGTAAACATGCTCATTGGTCATTTGATAAAATTTGATAAAATTTGTCCTCATGGTCAGGCTTGAAAAACAAATAAATCTGATTTAAATGGAAGGTTATTCATTATAGCCATTTTCCCTCTAACCAAGTACATGAATCTTTTCTAGACCCTAGTTTCACTAATTTTTCAAGTGAGTCTGTCTAGATTGCCTTAAAATCCCTGGTTTGAAGTTCATCTTGTCCTTTCCTTTTTATAACATTCTTTTATCTTTGAAATTACACTTCTAACTTCTGATCTCCCACCAGACTGAAGCCACCTTGAAGATATGCACCGTTATCTACAATGTGTAGCTTAACGTGTGTTTGTACGCACGTAGTTACAGAATTTGCAGGGCCTAGTGCAAAGTGAAAACGAGAGAGCCCTTGTCCAAAAACAATTAAGAATTTCAAGACAGCAGAGCATTGCTTGTTTCAAGCAGGGAGCCCTTCTAAGCACTACATGGGCCTCTATGCCACTACACAGAACACACGCCCATAAAAAAGTCGGATGTGTGTGGGGTATGTGTGTGTATGTGTGTGTGTGTGGGGGGGGGGTGTTTGAATATGTTAAATAGTATGCCTGGAAAATTAAGTCATAGCAACTTCAGAAAATATCCACAGACAGACCAACAGCCAGCATTCAGATCTCAGACTATCAAGAGCAGTGAGAGGTGGTAAAAATAGTTCAGATAATTAAATAAGAAAACATTTTCAGGTTACCAATAATTGACTACTTTGATGGAAGACTGTAAGATATTTAAAAAGACATTGATTAACCTTCAACAACTATCTCTTTAGGTTGACTTTCATATCTTATTTACATTTTTTCTATTACATTGTACTAATCATTCTGAGAATGCTGTCTTCTTTCTTAGTATTTATGGTTATAATAATTCATGAACTTGGAGTACTGTTGGCTTTTCTGCACAACTCATTGGGGCTACAAGTAAACGGAATAGCAATCATTTCTCTAATCACAAAACATCAGCATATAAAATTTCACAAGACATTTTATCCTTGTCTTATGAAAAATAATGTTCAGTTTATCAAAATATCAGCCATTCATTTAAGATTTCCTTTTGGAATTTTTTACAAATGGTATTAATTCTCTAATAGACAGGGAATTGAAGGAATCATAAGAAAAAATAGATCAGGGTTTCTTGGTTCCAACCTTTCCTACTTCTACACAAGAACTCAATTTTATCAATTAATACATAAACTAGAGGCCCAATGCATGAAATTCGTGCAAGGGGATCAGCCCCTGCCCATGGAGGCTTTGTCTGTCTAATTAGCATATTACCTTTTTTTGTTATTATAGATAGAGTCTAGCACCTCTCATGCATAATAACTTGTGGTGAGAATGTGCCCACTCTAATGCAACAACAAAAATTCCAAATCCTTTATGAATATGTTCTGAAGAGAGTGAGGAATTTACATCTCTCCTGGAGCTCTGAATAATTTCACCTCATGCTTCCTCAAAGTTCACTGATGACAAGCCTTTATTATGCCAGGTTTTGTGGTGATTGTGCAAAAGAAAGGAAGATGGATTTCTTCCTGAGGAAGTTATTGATAGATGATCTTTTATTTGTCCCTGAAAAGTAAAACAAAAAAGTGCAGGCTGATGCAATTTTTGTGCCTCAATGCCACTGTCAGGAATTTTAAGTAAAATAACCATCCTAGTGTGCTTGGGCACAGAATTCCCATTTAGAATTCGGTCTCCATTGCTCACCTCGCTCTAGATTCCAGTCACATGGCAAACTAGCTTTGCCCGCCCATTCCCTCTCGCCCATTCCCTCTCCTGTTCTCATTGGCCCCCTCCTGTCTGTCTGCCCTCACATCCTTTCTCTTTCACCCATGTTTTCATTCACATTTTCTCACTCCACGGTTGTCTCTCACTCTGTCCCTGGGCAGTGCTGTCTGAGTGCTAGATACTGTTCCCAGTGGGAGGGAGTTTGGCTGGGACAGGAGAGAAACAGGCCAGTGTGGCTGGAGCCACGGTCAGAGGGGGGCAGCAGAGCCCAGGTCACCCAGCACCTTAGGCCTGGGACAACGCAAAGGGCCAGAGGACCGTCCCAGAGTGTAAATCAGGTGCCCTGCCTCTGTGAGGGGAGGGACCAACCCGGACCGCAGGGTCTTCATGGTGTCCCCACGGGCACACAGGCTGGATTCGGGTTTGTTCCAGAAGCAGAGCTGACTGGACTTGCCTCTGGACTGGATGCAGGATGTGAGACTAAAAGGAATGAGGGATCCAAGTTTCAGGCTTGAACAACTCTTCTCACTCTTTCATTGTTATTCCCTCCCTCCTCCCCCTTTTGCCTCACACCTTACAGACTGGAATGCTCCTAGCCCCAGGTGAACTGCTCAGAATTCACAACCTCCTGAGGTCGGCAGGCTGGGGCAAAGGCACACCCACAGGACGCATGGCCCTGTCCCCTGCTGGTATCAGTTTCTACGTTTTTTGTAAGAACTTCTAACACAGAGTTCCACGCATGGACTCTGGAGCCAGAACGGGGCAGGCTTGTGTCCAAGTTCTGTTATCAACTAGCTAAGTGAGCTCTGCCAAGTTACTCAAATTCCCACATCTGTGAAGGGCAGGTAAGCCAACCCCCTCATAGAAGATGTTGCATGAGACCACATGTGCCTAACACTAGTACAGAGCCAATGACGGACACATAACAGCCCTTATGATCAGCGTTATTACAACCATTACACTGCCCACCTTCACTTACGCAGGGTTTCTGCAAAATATCAGGAACCAAACTAAAGCAGAACATACCTAAATAGTTCAGGCCTGGAAATAAAACATTAACTCCTCAGTAACAAACGGTCCAAAGGGAAAGTGTGATTTCTTAGCCAATTCAGATAAACGTGAAAGTCACGGTGATTTAACCATGATGGACTCCACTTCCTACGCCTGAGTTGGGCTCTGATTTCCCACGTCCACAAAGATACCGCTTCCCAGCGTAGGTGGAGGCACAGGATTCTGTTCCTTGAGGTGTCACCTGGGCAGGTGCATGCGCACAGACAGCGGAAAGGGGCTGATGTGAGCGATTCCAGGGACTGAGTGAGGGCATGACCCTCTCCACCCTCCCCGGTTCCTTTTTTCATGAACTTGGCGTACTGTTAGCTTTTCTGCACAACTCACTGGGGCTATGAGTAAACGGAATGGCAATCATTTCTCTAATCACAGAACATCCCCATATAAAGTTTCACAAAACATTGGCGTTGTCCACCACACCCACGTCAGGCGCTGCGGCGCCCTCTCCGCGCTCAGCCCGCACTCGCCCAGCCTTCACTACACCTGTGAGTAAACGGAATGGCAATCATTTCTCTAATCACAGAACATCCCCATATAAAGTTTCACAAAACATTGGCGTTGTCCACCACACCCACGTCAGGCGCTGCGGCGCCCTCTCCGCGCTCAGCCCGCACTCGCCCAGCCTTCACCCTACACCTGTGTCGCTCCCGCGGACGCGGTGGCAACCTATGCTTTGCGCGCCCAGTGGCCTCGGTCGCGGTGGCCTGACGCTGCCAAGGCGGTGAGAGGTCATCTGGGAAGTG